TATTCACCTAATTCATTTTGTTTCACCAAGTTTTATTCTACATAGCTGAATGGACTAGTTGTGTGGCTTTGTTTCACATATAATGCAAATATGGTTGGTTTAGTTGCCTTTACAAAGTCCTACACAAAAGAATCCCTTTTCATAGTCAGATAATCTTAGAGGTTTTTTTTTTTTTTTTTTCATAACCAAATAATCTGTTTCTTCATTTGAAAAATTCGCTGTTAAATAATTTTAAAACCTTCTGTTCAAACAGTGAAACATGTAAGAGAATAATTCAACAAAGCAAGGAATGGTTTAGCATATAAAACATCTGGCAGCTCTAATGTTTGGGTACTATGAATAAGTATGTGGCATACCTACAAACTTGATTCACACTATTAACTATAAGGGCAATAGGTAGGATAACTATTCTTAATTACTAGTCCTACTTTATATCTAATATATAAAAAACTACAGTTAATAAAGTTCTATAAGGGACAGCCTATGATTAGACCTAGGGAATAATGCCTCAAACTACACATTTTCTATCACTACATGTATCATAGTCAAAATTCTAGACCTATATGCTTTTTGATCTAAAGAAAGAGCACAGAACAAAGCCATAAATTACATTTAAAAATAATACATTTCATACAATACAAATTACAATTTGTAATTTGTGATTCCATACAATGCAATCACAAATTACAAATTTCTCCATGGAAAAAAATACTTTAAAAATAATTCAAATTTAAAAAAGAAGAAAATGACATCGCATAATAAAAATGTAAATTACCTGATCATGGTTATGACATTTTAAAACTGCCCACTGCAAAAAAATTGTCTAGTTTTGAAATCTACCTTTGCATCTATTACACATTTAAATGATTAGCTACTATCTAATAGATAGCAGTATATCAAAATTTAATATGTCTGCTTAGCCTTACGAAATTTGTGGCGAGAGGAAGAGTTAACATTTCAGAAAACATTTAAATTTATTAAGAACATTTCTGAAATGAGTTTATTGTCCTCCAAATTCTAAACAACTATTTTTCTTTTTTTCACATTGTGCAGTTAATAAAAGTATTCATTTTTATTAGAATATTTTTACAGACTCATTAGATGCTCTCATTCAGTTGAACGATCAAATCGATTGACTGAAAAACCAAATGGTCCTTAAATTCTCAAATTAAAAGTTAGTATATTTCACTGCCTTTATCAAAACAAAATTTTAATATATATATATATTAAAACTGGAATTTTACAGTAACAGCAAAATCATAAACAACATAAAATATTCATTAATTTTAATAAAGATTTCTGAAATATCAAAACACAAACTTTTTTTAAGAAATGGAAGAAACAAACAAAACTAAGTTAACTAACTTAGTTAACAAACTAACTAACTTAACTGAAAGTTAACTTAACTGAAGTAAACAAACTAACTTAACTGGGGGAAAAAACTGTGATAATATGTGATAATCTGGAAATCACATAATAATACTATAACAATCTGGAAAAAACAATCAGCAAGATGGAAAAGTATCTTATTTTGAAGAAGAATTTATTTGCAGTGATTTTTAATACTTGTACATTAATTAAATGAATTACAAATGCATGCATTTTTCTTGCAACAATTTTTTTATGTATTGCAATATTTTTTATACTAAATAAATCATTAATGTCTTTGTTACCTGAGACAAAGGAAAATATATCAGCTATAACTAACATATTTTAGCAACATATAGTTACGTCAGTCTTTTTTTTTTTTTTTTTCTTTTCTTTTCTTTTCTTTTCTTTTCTTGGTTGGTTATGTTTTTAGATAAAACAGCACATTTAGTAGCAAAAAAAAAAAAAAAAAAAAAAAAAAAAAAAAAAAAAAAAAAAGCCACTACCGAAACCATAATTCTGGTAACATACTAAAAACATACACTGTTAGAATCTGTTTGCTCTTTCCAAATTAACAATCATGTAATGAATAAATAAATCAATAAATAAAACTTTGATATTAAAACATAAGAAATAAATAGAATTAATTGAAATATCTAAATAAGTGATTCAGTCAGCAAATAAAAATTAACTCTTGCTCTGCCACATAAACCTATAATTTACATTTCTATATTTCAATTAAAAATATTTAATATTCAAAGTAAAAGAAACAATTAGATTATCAATTCATAAATACACTGTGATAGATAAGGAACAAATAAAAACTGTGATGCAATATTAAAAGTGGAAAAACCACATTATATTAAGTAATGAGAGTTAAAATATTTTGTTGTGAAAAAAAAAAAAAAACTTTTATATATTAGTTTAGATTTTATGAACAGTACCAAATTTAAATTACATAATAATCTGCCACTCACTTTAAGTTAGTATAATTTTTTATTTATATACTGTTGTCATAAGATACCCACATTTAAAACACTTAGAATAGAAACACCCACGCATGCCAAAATAAATAAGTACAAGAATTATTTTAATGGAAAGCAGAACAGGAAATCTATTTATTAGCATTCACTGCAATAAGAAACCACAAGTTGCAAACATTTAAACTAACAACACCTACACATAAAAATAATTAAAAATTAATCATGCACTTTTAGAAACTTAGACCAGCAGACACATAAACAAGGTACGAAAATCTGAAAAAGGATTTAAAATTTTAAAACTAGACAAATATTGCAGATAGACATATTTTTCAAAATACACATTCAAGCAATGCAACAGACAATCCATTACATTAATATTACAAGCTATAAGGAATTTCATTAACAAGCAAAAAAATTAACATACAAGGAATTTTACACACTTACAAGCAAAAACAAAAGCTAAAATCATGCCAAAAATAAAAGAAAAACTGCAAAAGCTTCCAGAATGTGACTCTTAAAACTACTTTTTGACTAATATACAGGGTGCTGTGAAATTTACAAATGTGATGTATTTGTTTAATATAATACATTCATAAATAAAAGTAAAAATCTTTATGCATATATTATTTTAGATAAAACTGTTTCATTTCTAATACATAATAAGTTGACGTTTTTCCTAATGAGTAGTATACAGATGACTGAGTATTGCACTATGTGTCAATTTGATACTAGGCATAAATTTGATATTTTCTAATTAATTATCAAATTTATACCTTCATGTATGCAACATATACTATATAAATACAGCATATATTTAATTTGATAGTGGATAAAATTTGAGGAAAACGTACATATATAAAAGCAATATTCTCTCACAAGTGATCCATATTTTTTTTTTACAAAATATGATAAAATCAAATATTAAAAGCACAAAATTCTCACAATCTCATGCACTGTAATAATTAGGTCAAAATTAAATGAAAAACACAGTATTATTATTCCATGAATTAGATGACGAAAAAGAAAAAAAAAAGAATGGATAATAAAAACTGAACAAAATATTTATTTAAAATTTTTTTGGGTGATTTATTTTTAGTCCATTCTTTTGTGGTAAAAAGCATATTGCAAATGATCAAAAATGGAAATCTCACTCTTTTGTATTCCCTTAAAAATAATTAAATTCTTTATATAATGCATATGGAATATCAAAAAATTGGAACTAAGAAAATTACTTTAAATATTCACGATTTAGAAGTAAAACAACACAAATCAGCGTTATATTTGCCAATTTTCTACGGCTAGTTTCGATAGTTTTACCAAACCACCTTCCTCAGCTGTTTAAAGTGAAAATGAACGAGATAAAATATAATGATAAGATAAGAATGGCTGGACAGGAGTTTAGCTATTGACGCCATCTATTGATGAAACAAGTAAACCAAAACATAATTTCCTTAAAGGCTGAAGGTGAAGATGGATTGGGAGTAGAGTCGTTAACTATAGCAGAAAGATATTTTTGAATATGTAATGCCTCTAGGAAACATAATTCATCAAGGGAAGATGTCTGTTGAATAATTTTGGCTTCAGAAAACTGGAAAGTGTGATTTTGGGGCCAACAGTGCTGGGAAACAGAGGACTTCTGTGTTTCTTTTTTCCTAACATATGCCTCATGTTCTTTCAAGCGAAATTTTAAGGCTCTCTTAGTTTAACCAATGTAAATTAAAACACATTGGCAGTAATACCTCAGGCAGTAATTTCGTAAATAACTCAGGAATTCATATCTGGAATAGAGTCTTCAAGTATGGAATTGGGAATTTCATTGATAGGAGAATAAACCCAAAAGTTAAATTTCTGTAAAATAGGTGCAGTTTCATAGCTGATAGAAAGAAAGGAATGACAACAAAATTCTCATAATCTCCTAAAGCAATGTGTGCCTTGCCTGTATGTGCATGTTGAGATGAGAAGTTTTTAACTGCTTGGTTAATAAAGTTGGGTGAAAGCTCCTGTAAACAGCAACTGCTTTTTTTTTAAATAATTCAGTTCTTGATCAAGAGCCAAATATAGTGCCAATGCAAATGTAACTCTCATTTTTGTTGTTTGACTTCTAAATTATTCATTGTTCGGCGTGTTATTTTTAACCTAAATCCATGATTTTCTTATTACTTGTTTGATTATTTTCTTATTACTTCTTGGTTTCATTAAAACAACCACACAAAAAAATATTTTCTAGCAGTATGGTAAAGCGTTTTATAGAGATTTTAACATCCTGTCTGTTTAATTTCAACCATTTGCCAAAATGAAACATTTAAATAATTATTCACCTAAGTTATTCCTTTCAGCATCAATGGGATATATTAAAATTAAATACTTTAGCTTTTTATATTAAAAGCAAATTTAAAATAATTATATCTTTAACAAACAAATAGTAGCTTAAATTAAGCAAATATTCTTAAACTACAATTGACTTTAAGAGAAATATAAAATTAGCATTTCGATTCTCACATTATAAATTTCAGTCACTCTGTATATTAAGCACATTGCTGCTTTACTATGAAACTAATGAAATATCTAAAATGTTCCTAATCATGTAGAGCCAACTACTATAGGCTGTTGTTCCTCATCTACTTCATATAACATTAATTTCTCTCCTACCTTCCTTACTTTGCCATTCATATGTGACCTTGACTCTGAGCTTTCTCCATTTTCACTTTTAATGCTAGCTCTTTCCTTAAAGTCTCTGTCATCTGCCATTTTGTCTTGACCTACAAACAATTCATAGGATCTACAAGAGGACCCAGATGGACTTTTTACAACTCCATCAGGAGGAGAGCCACGAAGTGCTGCTTGTTCTCTCTGCAATTAAGTTTAATATGTTATCGTCCAAGATTTAAGAATTAATAGCATTTATATTATATCATAAAAAACATTATTTACATTATGCAGGGTGATTCTTTTAGAACTGATTTCATTTGGCTGTAGTTTTGTTAAAAAGTACTTGATTTTAATGCGGTTTGCGGCAAAAGTTTCAGGTGGTCCGTTCCGTTTTTTGATGTGCAACGCCGAAAGAAAAGAAGAAATAAGAAGTAACGAAAACCGGGACATTCCCCGAAATTTCATACAAGAGGTACTAAGTACTGCTGAAGACAGAACAGTTTGATATTTCGCCATATGCCACACGTAAAGAAAAAAGATAGGAAGAAATGATAAGAAATAAGATAAAGAAAAAAAAGATGAGATATAAGGAAAACCGGGACATTCCCCGAAATTTAATACAAGAGGGACTACCTACTGTTGAGGTCAGAACAATTTGACGTTTCTCCGCATGCCGCACATCAAAACAAAGTATGGATGTGATCTGGAGTTTCTTTGGGGGAAAGCATTATTTCCAAAGGTTTTCGGCCTCCGCGGTCATTAGATTTATCGTCTTCAGGTTTCTTCTTATGGGGTTTTCTGAAGCTTCGGGTCTATCGCGATAAACCACTTATACTGGACGAATTAAAGGCCAACATTTCTAGACAAATTGCAAACATCACTGCCGACACATTACGGAATGTTGCAGCCAACATGAAGCGGCTATGCCTACACCCAGGAGCGTGGTAATTTTCAACTACTACTGCAGGGTAAGTGATTATAAACCTGGAAAAACCTTTACTAGTTACGTTTGGTATGCCACTTGGCAATCAGAGTTTTTAACAATGTTTTATAGCCATTCCTTCTTGCCATCTCTTCTTATGTAGCATTTTGCAGTTTTTGTTATTTCTTACTTCTTATTTTCGGCGTTGCACATCAAAAACGGGACGGACCACTAAATTTTCATCCTTCCTGAATCTTTTGCCGCAAACCATATTAAAACTGGATACTTTTTTTTTTAACAAAAATACAGCCGAATGGAATAGGTCAGTTCTAAGAGAATCACCCTGCATTATGAATACCAAAAACAATGAATTTTTTACATCTCAAGAGTCTACGCAAATCCTTATTTACAAAGATTGGAAAATCTTATAATTAAATATTTTCAAGAACGTAAATATACGCAATGCATTTTTTATAGAAAATTATAACACACATGCACACTGATATACACAGGTGGATATATCATTCAATATTAGGGGTTTTTAAATGCGGTGTTAGGGATGTTCAAATGAAAAGGTACGAAACGACATTATAGATATACTAAAGTCTTCATTCACAAGTAATCACCGAAGGCCTGCATCGCCTTATTCAGCACCTCTTTCACTACTCAATTGTCGCGGCGGGAGTTATTGACCCCTGCCCAGGCAAGAAAGTAAATGAAAGAAGTTTTCGTCCCATTGTGTGGACTTCTTATCGATCTCTAGTACCTTCAAACCTTAACGGTCCTCTTTCTTCACTTTAGCTATACTCAATTCTTAATTCTTCATTATTTCTTAACAAAGTTGTGGAGGATATTGCTGTTTTCAGCAACGGTACTCCGGAAACCATCGCCTTGATCCTTGGTCCGAAGGCCTGAGCACGTCTATCCCACTGTTGCACGAACCAGCCGAAGAATTCCCTCTTCTCAGAATTCATGTAGCTGATACAGGAGCCAGTCCTCCACTGTGTCCATCAGCTCGTCGTCCGAGTTGAAGCCATTAATTTTGAGATATCACTTCTCAACAAGTCATTCACATTGACGATGAGTTCGGACGTAATTACCGTTTTTACTTGGCCTGGTCTCGGGTCATCACTCAAAACGTTCAAGAAAACTGGCACTCCACTTTCTCACTGACTTGTGGGACACACAGTTTCCTCCGTTTACGACCATCATCCGGCGATGAATATCCGCCGGTTTAACCCCTTCCACAGTCAGAAATCTTATAATATCTCGCTGCTCCTCAATCGTCGAATTTTGCAATATGAATGCCAAGATGTCATCACAAACACTGCCACATCAGTTGGACGGAACACACAACTGCCTGCTTCACTCGGACGTCATGTGCGGGCCCTTGCGCATGCGCATAACCACGTCGGACACTTCTTAGATGTCTCACAAAGCGGCATATTCAAATTTCAGCCGATTTGGTTGTTACGGGTTACGACGTTTCTTACCTTTCCATTTGAACACTCCCTTGAAACATTTAAACACCCCCTTGAAAAAATGTGATTATAACCACATTTTTTTTTCTTCTTTTTCTTGTTGCAGCACCAGTTTCTTTACTCCCAAGACAAATCCTTGCAAGCAGGAATGCATCACATATTTTATCTCAAACAATGTGAACTTGAATAATGATCCATAGAAGTGAGATCTAGGATGTAAGTACAAATAGTGTCTCAAATTACAGTTTTTGGAATGGTATGCAGCTTCTATGAAAGATACGACATTACAGATCTCACAGTATTTCTTCTACAAAACTTCCTCAATCTTATTATCAATGACCTTAGACGCAGACATCTTCAACCAAAAATGTAACACTCAAAACAAAAGAACTTTTTTTGACAGAATAAAAAATCATATGGTGGCACGAGAAATGTATTGAGAAGGAGGAGGATTATTCAGTAGTGACACTTCAATCTACTAAGAATGGGATAAGTTCTCAAGAAGATCTCTCAATACTCCGAAGTCAGCTCTAAACTAGAAACTCAGAACTGATGATCTCTCTGGGTTTATATACTTTCCACTGTCCGCCGAGAAATCTCTAGTACCTTCTATTTCTCGAAATTACTGGAGGGCGGATGCAGTTAAAGTTACATGTAAGGGCCGGATATGATTACAGTTACATATAGGGATCAATTACAGTTATACAGAGACCAGATCAAAATGTCGCCAAATGGTCACCACGTTTAGCGGCTTTTGGCGATTTCTCGTCAAATTTAACGGCAAAATTCTTCTCCAAAACCATCGCCGATTTAGCAAGATAACCATTTACCTTAAACAGAACTTGCCCCCTGTTATCTTATTTTTTCTCCAGAACTTCGTTTTACGAACCTTTCTTTCATGTTACATTATACAAAAGATACTACAGTTTCCCACGTAATTTCATTAAAATTATTTACGTATATACAAAGCTCGTGACATTATCATTTGTAGCAGTTACTGAATTATTTATGTCGTAAAGTTTTAATTTGCAGTTACGTTTTGAAAGTTTTTGACATTGTCACAGAAATAACATTCTTCATAATTTCCATCATAAAAAACCATAATAAAACATAACAACCGTAATAAAAATTTTAAAAAAAGAGGAGAAAAAAAGTTAAAGCGTACAAGACATTTGGCTACAGCTTCAGCTTCTGCATCAGCTGCTGCTTGTTGCAGAGCAGCTTCTTCAGCAGCTATCGCATCCTCCTCTTCCTGAGCTTTCTTTTGCAACTCATCGTAAGACATAGCTACAATGGCTAAGATCAGGTTCACTAAATAAAAGGAACCCAAAAAAATAATAACTACAAAAAATACCATGTGCCATGGCCCCGCAGTTTTTAGCACCTGTAAAGAAAAATACTCAGTGAGAAAAGAAAAGTCGTACAATTTATACACTCAGACAAAAATGATAAAAGTATTAATTATACACAATCTGAAGTATTTTAGGCTTGAAAAATCTATTACTACTTCTTGACCAATGAGAAATAATTTTTAAAAAATTCAGCTATATGCATATTACTTTATCACACTTGAGATTTAAGTGTACTGCTTTAATCGCAGACTGAGTTTTAAATTTATGATTACTTGTACTGCAAACTGTGAATTTAGTATAATTCAAGATTTAATTATAATCTAAAATGTAAATTTCCAGACATTCTAACATTTAACTTATTTTTTAAGAGTTCTGTCTTGATAGCATACATTGCAAGCAGTATAAATCAAACTACCAAAATTCTTATAGCACGGACAATGAAACATTTGCAGGAACTATGAATTCATTTGCTTGAACAAAAGAACTTAATTTTTACAGAACTTTTACAGAATGCCGGATTTCAAACATTGCAGGTAACATGTATATTTCATTTATAATGTATGAAATAAAAAGCATATAGAATGAGGAAATAAAAGTAAACCTCTTACCATTTGATACAAACTTTCCCAAAAATCTTGCGTCATTAAACGAAATGCACTTAATAAAGCCCAAGGAAAACTATCGAATGTAGTATAACCGTGATTTGGATTTGGGCCTACCCCTTGCATACATGTGTAGTCTGAAGGGCACTGCCTACATTTGGTTGGAATATGTTTTCATTAGGAGCACATAAAATAACTAGAAACATTTCATTTTCAAGTGTCATTAGCAAAATAACATTTAGAAATATACAAAAAATATCAATAGCTTATTTTATTATGGAAAATAAACACATTAAACTTAGTTTAAAATACGAGTTATGGTAAGAAGAAAATATTTAAGTACCGTATATTCCGGCGTATAACGCGCACGTATAATTTCAAACTACATTTATTAACTTTTAGGTATGTTCGTCGTATAACGCGCACCCTTTCCTATACGAAAAAACCTAAAAGACACATGTCCGATGCATTTACATTTTGAATTCTTTTATTCGAAGATTTTTTCCCACGCGTTCGAATAAAGGTTTACTGAACTGAACAGCGATTAGGGAAACAATAAGTGTGTGTGTGTGTGGGGGGGGAATGCTCGAGTACAAAATTTTGCAAAGAGGGTGGGCTGTATTCAATGCAGATAAGCACAAGAATGTTATTATAGGGTTTCGAAAAATGGCGGACAGAATTTATGGTAAGAATGCCCTTCCAACACGAATGAATTCGCGGAATTAGGAGCCAGATGTTTTCTCGTTCTGTATCTTTTGGAGTGAACATTTAACGCTTTAGTAAATCGAATTTGCTTTAGTTGAAATATGGTTGATCTAGTGTAAATATGGCTTCTGCCAAACGAAACAACAGAATATTGTTTTCAAATGGAAAGTCATTCAGCTTGCGAAAGGAAATGGAAATCGTGCTGCAGCAAGGATGTTTGGTGTTGGTTAAAGATGGAACAGATGATGATTATTTATTTGTGGATCAGAATAACAATTATGATGAAGACGAAACTGAATTCTATGATGCCCCTGAAGATATAACAGAAGACGAACATGACGAATTTTTCATGCTATCCAATAACGAAAATTTTTACGTTCATAAGGTGTGTCGTTTCTTTTAAAATATAAACAGCATTTAGGTGCACGTAAAAATCTAATTTTTGTATGCTGAATTTTCCTTATTTTTAAATCCGGGGTATAAAGCGCATCCGTATATTTCAAACTTATTTTTTGTATTAAAAGTGCGCATTATACGCCGAAATATACGGTAAGGAACAGAAAATATTTTCGGAAAAATTTAACTTTTAAATAGTATCCTGAAAAATTTGGAGTTATAGTCAAATCCATAACAGTTTTCTCAAAGCGTTTTAGGTTAGGATCTCCTTGTTTAAATTTATGAAAAATGTTTAAATTAGAAATTATTTTGATGGCACCGTCTATCCTTTCGATCCTGACGATTCCAGACAGTGTTATGTAATAACTTTGCCTCAAGGATTATACAAACTGTTTTTGTGGATATCGTGACAGAGAAGGACGCCTTTATGGTTATGGACGCCGATAAAGACAGACAAATAGATTCTCAATAAAGGATCGTTTTGCCGTCTGTGTTTGTAGAAGAGACAGAATGCTTACTGCTGCATTAATCGCTTCCGAGGAGAGGGATGCTCCGTAAAAGAACACACGTCGATACGAAAGAAAGGGCTTCTTTGCACATAAATTTCGGAAAGTATAGAAAGGAAATTTGAAAAATATAGTAAACAAATTTGTTGTTGAAAGTGAGATAAATGGTGGTTTCTTTTAACAAAAAGTTCCCTGTATTAAGGACGACACCATTTTATTGTTGAATGGCCCATGGACTGTTAAGGAAATAGGTTCCAGACAGACTGCCTACTAGACCTTTTATTTATTTTTTTTTTTTTAAGAGATGTTTGTTGGTTGCAGTAGATTTCTTGTTGCATACAGGCGAAGAAAAAAGTATGTTTTGGCCTTTCCTAGGGATGAAGTTGGGAAAAGTAAACTGCGTAATTTTAATTGCTGCATGCTTGTAATTGTATTGAAGGACAAAGGACTGTGACTAAGTTGTAAATGAAGAAGATGTGAGGCATGTTTGCATCTATTTAGTTAAGAATTAGATGAGGGGTTAAATAGAAAAGATATTTTTGAAACGGGTTTTCATTTATGACGTGGGAAGGTAACGAGAGGAGAAATAAAAAAGGAAGGAATGAGACGTGGAGAAGGAGGCTAGTGTAGGCTTGAAGTGATGAAGCTTAAAGACAAGTAAAAGAAATAAAATATTGGAGTAATACTGAAAACTTAGATATAATAAGTGCTGCCATGAACTACGTTACAAGTTAAAGACATAATAGAACAGCTGAAATGTTGTATTTTGTTTTGATACTGAAACTTAAGAAGAGACATATAAGTATATAATTTATTCAGAAATATTTCAAAATAATTTAGCCAATTGGCTACTAGTTGCTTCTCACATCATTTAATTTGAGTTCTTTGATCTCAATTTAAATATAAAAATATTTTAGAAATTGTTGATTCTTTGGAACTACTCTTATATGCGCCGTCAGGTGGCCAAATTTCTCGCTAAACCACGCCGCCATGTTACTACCTAAATTTTTTGTCTGCATTTCGAATTTTAAGCCTAAAATGTCTCCAAAAACACTTTCGCACATGCAGAAACAACGTTTTGAAGACACTATTTAAGCTAAAAATCCGAAATAAAAACAAAAAATTTAGATAGCAAAAGCGTAAAGTTTCTAACCAAAAATATTTGACAAGAATCCATGTACACAGCGATATGTTTTAACTTCGAAAAACATCTACGAATTGCACATTCTAGGCAGCAAAGGAATCCATGAACCACGCACACCTCGCTCAATAAATTAACATAACAACAATAAACTTCAAAGAATACCATGTACACTGCATTCTGTTTCAACTTAAACAAAATCTACGAATTGCACAATCTAGGCATTGCGCACAAATCAACCAAATAGGGTAGAGTAGACTTTAAGGTACCCCTTTTATTATGGCAAAATTGTTGTTGATTTATCACCAAGTTGTTGTTTCATTTATGGTAGCCTGAGTAGTTGAATGTTATGGAAACCCTATTCTGACGTAATTGGGTGCATGATTCTGGGAAATTTTGAATCATGGGATGTTTTGTAAGCGTTTTTGTGATGTGTGTTGGTTTGATTCTTTAGACGGTAGAATGGCCGAATGTAGTAAGATTAATTTGAAGTTTCTGTATGATTTGGAGCGAAAGGGAAAAAGAGCTTTAATTGACTGGTGTGTAAATGAAGGTTTACTTAGCCATTATGTGTCCTGTATGTAGGAAGGATATGCGTTTATTCGAACGTAAAAACGTTTAGATGGATTTGAATGGGTTTGTAGAAAGAAAGGTTCAGATGGTCACTATGCGAAGCGTTCGATCAGAAAGAGTACCTGGTTTGAAAAAAGTCATTTGAGTATGATTGATATTTTGATTTTTACGTGGCTCTGGGTGTACGAAGCGAACTCGAAAATCATGGTAAGTGAATATTTGCTTTTGGTAGTGCTTAAATGTATAACATGTTTTTCCTTTTTCATGTTATTTTATTGTTTGGTTTAAAATGTATTTTATTGAGATTATGCATTTTTTGTTTGCCTATATTGTAGAATTTGGTGCTCCTTTGACTTTTTAAGTTAAAATATATCGATGTGTACATGGTCAAAGTAAAGGGAGTGCGCAATGCAAGTTTGTGCAATTCTGGGATTTTTTTTCAAGTGAAAACAGGTCGACGTGTACATGGATAAAGTTAAAAGAGAGCGCAATGCCATTTTTGTGCAATTCGGGGACTTTAAGTGAAAATAGGTCGACGTGTACATGGATAAAGTCAAAGGAGTGCGCAGTGCCATTTTTGTGCAATCCGGGGATTTTTTTAAGTGAAAATAAGTCGATGTGTACATGGATACCGAGTTTTTTGCGCAATTGTTTGTCTTGTGTAGCATTTGTAGCAAATTTGTGTTGCGGCGATTTTTTGGATTTTTTGCGCAAAAATCGCCGCTTCGCAAGCCAAAATAACGAGTCAAAGAATTGCACAAAATCGGTATCCATGTACCGCCAAAAATCGCCAAGTTTCGCCAATACTTTTACCACCAAATAAACTAAACTAAATTACAAAAATTCAAAAAACAACAATAACAACAGAAATTCATAGTAAAAAAAAATGAACATAACATTCTACAAAATAAAATGCACTTACCATAATACATACCTGAATAAAATTTCACCAGTGACACAACATCTCTGAACAAAACTGTCATGATTTTGCTATATCACATGTCTTTCTGAGATTCAAAATTTCGAAAGTAACGATAAAATCTTCCTCCAAAGTTACTACACCAAAACCACAATCCAAATCTTAAACGCCGCTGACAGCCACATACTTTACCAGCAACCAGACTGCAAATCCAGATAAGAACTATCAGAAACGCCCTTTTCCGCCCGAGTTCTCATAGCAGCTCCGCATTTCGGACTCCGTTTTAAAAGTCCCACAGAAATTCCAAAAATACACTTCAATCCTCATAAACACACTGTGAACAAAAGACTCGTAAACAACTCTAACATCGTACCTTTTAATACTAAATTTCCTTTTCACACGATCTAAAATACGCGATTGAAATTTTGCCACCACGTCTATCATTGCAACATAAGCCATTTCCAAACACGCACGACATGAACCAACGAGCAATTAAACCACTCCAGCAAAAGATTTTTCAACGTCAACAGGGTTGCCATACAACACGCAATCGCGTCAAAAACCAGCGCAGAACACATATCGCTACATTTGGTGATATTAGGGCGCATATAAGAGTAGAGCCGATTCTTTTAATGAAAAACTAATTAATGACATGTAATTTCATCATCTTAAAATTGAACAATTTGATAACCACCAATGAATTAATTGAAAACAGACAGCATTTTTCAGCACCTATTTAAATTGTAGGTTATTTACAAGAAGTACGTCCGAACTTAAATGGAACAAACCAAATAAGCCTAATTATCAAGAACAGAAAAACAAACCATAAGTATGATTATGACACGCAAATGTATGTTTTTCTTGTAATAAATAAACAAGCAAATTAAATGAATAATACAGATGTGCAATACAGATACATTTAACCAAAGGCTCTCACAAGACCTATAAAGCTCACCACATGCGAAGCTAAATGCTGACTTACACGCTTTTCACTGATCTAGCTTATTTTGTAACTTTGAAAGTATTATTGTATAACACTGAAAACGAAAGCTCTAAATAATAAAAATAGATTAGTCTGTTTTAATATAAAAAATAAAATAAAGGAAGAATTATAACCTGTGATACTTAACACAAATTTAGCTGCATTTTTATTTAATTTACTAATTAAATTAATTACTAATTAAATTGCATACAAATTTTTTTACATAAATCAGATTCATTAATCTGATTAGTTTTTCTGAAGTCTTAAGAAAAGCAAATATAGGATTTTAGATTAGATTTCCATCTTAGGATTAAGATTTACGAATAAATTTGTAGAGACATTAGGTATTTTTTGGAAGCAAAAGTGATGAAAAACGAGCAACATCTTCGCTCGGAATCGAATCAGGGACCCCTGGAATGTGCGCCCAGCGTGCAGACCACCACACCACGAAGGCATGCCAAGAAGGAGGGAGAAATACCTTATATACTCCCCCTTTTAAAGGGCGACTGGGTTTTAAGGGACGAATCGCCAAATCCTGGGTGTGGAGAATCATCATCCACTACCCTTTTTGTTCGAGAGCCACTATAAAGACATTAGGATTTTTTTTGGAAGGATGAGTGATGAAAAATGAGCAACGTCCCCGCCGGGAATCGCACCACGGACTTCTGGAATACGCACCCAGCGTGCAGACCACTACACTACGAAGGTATGCTAAGAAGGTGGGAGAAATACCTTATAAATTATAATACAAATATATTTTAATTGAAGGCTGAAATATATGGATAAATAAATAAATAAAGGAAAAACTTTTACAAGGACAAAAAGTGATGATTATTTTGTTTATACTACCTTGCTCCAGAAGAATTTCCACATAATACATAAACATTTTCATCTTCTTCTAGCCAATGTGCTAAAAGAAACAAAGAATTTTCAACATAAATTTTTGAGAACGAACAAGAAAAAAATCAAAGTAGTAAACATTTGGTGTTTAAAACTCTTTTAAAGAATGTTTAGAGATTATAATTGAAGTTTATTACAAACATACAAAAATTGTTGCAATTTTGTAAAATATGCAAAAGGTTTTTAATCTTTATGTATTTTGTTTTCCTCACCTCTAGTTCTTGACCAATTAGTATCGTATTCATACCACGTTAGATTAAGACTAGGATCCGGGTTTTTGACACATTTTTGCGACAAAACACCCATATAAATCTGCAAACCCAATAAGGCAAACACTGATAAGGAGAATAAAGTAAGGATTATAACATCCTTCAAATTTTTCACAGATTCTATAACTGCTCCTACAATAGTTTTGAGACCTACAAAGATAAAATTAAAATAATAATTAATACAGTTAAAATACAAACGAAATATTATTTCACTGAAATTTCAAAATTAGATGGAATTATGCAGAAATTGTTAGGGGTCTTCAACTTTTCACGCCTGAGGGCCACATCAATAAATTCACAAGAGATCAGCAGGCCACATGTCTGTCAATAAAATAGTGTAGTCAGAAAGTTTATATAAAAAAGGGAGGTTTGTTTTGCAAGACTACAATTGATTCTAAGCGAAGAGATAGTGTTACAGATTTGTAAAGATTATATATATATCATATATATATATATTTAGGTTCCAATATTGAATTCCAAAAATCAAATGGGAAATCGCAAATCCTTTAAAAAATCGTTTTAAAAAATAAAAAACCAATCGACGATTAAAAATGGTTGCAATAAAAAAGAGGGAGAAAAACCTGGCAGATGGTAGTAGTTTAAGATGTGCAATTTAATCGGTAAAGTCCTCCAAATATCTGTGGTTTTGTTATTTTAGGATTTTCATTTTACAAGAAAGCTGTTCACATATGTAGGTACTGCCAAAGATAGAAGACATGAAGAATGCATGTTTACGAATTCCTGGATACTTGTCTTCGGTCACGCAGTTGGAATAAAAATCAGTTAACGTAGGATTTTCAAGAAACTTGCCTTTTAGTGCAGAGTCGCACTGTAAATAAACTCAAGACACTCAAATAAACTCAAGACAAAATAAAGTAATAAAAAGTGCAATTATTGTTTTAACATCAGGTTGCATTTCGTAATAGAAAAAAAATTTTAATGTTAATTTTCATTAACAGAGCGGCAATCAAAATATGAGAAAGGGCACCAATGACTGCTGTCTTAACACCATGGAGTATGTCAAATATTCATATCGAGATTCAGGTATGTTTTTCTGGGGGGGGATAAATTGAGCCCCCTGCTAGTTGCTGTTTAATTTTGTCTCACCTTATCCATGTTTTTTTGGGTTTTCAATATGCTATTACAGATGTATTAATAATATTGTTGCGTTCTACGGGTTCGTGGATTTGGAGTAATTGATGACAACATTTGATGAAGAATCAAAACACATTTGATTCGTCAATATTACACAAGGCAGTTCCAAAGACACGTTTACAACTGTTGAAAAACTACGATAAACATGCTGAAACAATCACCAACACAGCCTTCAGGGATACTTACGGAAAATCCTGTCGACCACAAGAGACGGCGCCAATCGCGCCAAACCAAAAAAACCATTTACTAAGTACAAGAAAAAAAGTTCTTATTCTTATTTTTCTTTCAAATTTATTATATTACCATTTACTTATATTTAATTTTTCATTAAAAATTTCCATTATTTTTTATTAAGGAGAGCTACTGTAAAAACAATTATTTTTGCTAGGTTTTAATTTTCGCGAGAATGTCTCGCGAAATACATTTTTTTTCGCCTCAAATAATAATAAAAAATCAGTACTTTTCTGTAGTAGGCAGGTTCCAAATTTTAATCATTTTTTTTTTCAAAAATGCGTGATAGAGGGAAAAAAGGAGTCTTTACCCAATAATAATTAACACGTTGAATCAAGGTTACACCAAACCCAGCGTGTTTGATGAAGACTTTTCCATTTTTGGCATCTCTTCTTTAATAGGCAAAAATGGTCGACGGGATTTTCCGTAAGCACCCCTTCAGGCTATAACGGTGAAGACAGCTTCACAGCAAAGCACTAAAGTAGAGCTTCCGTCCGACTCGTTTGATCGCTCTCGAGCTAATCTCTGAACTCAAGATACTGCTACTGAACATTACTATTCAAGATACTCTTCACGACAAACTACTACTCCTCATACAGGCAGGGTATTTATAGCTTTTGATCTGTCTTCGAGAGCATTCTCGGGAAAGCCGGTAAGTATAATAGCATATCGTCGATTTTAGCGCCAAATCTGGAAACTGTCTTTCCTTGCCATATCTGAAAACCCTAAACCCGCTTTGCAGGGAAGCTATCTTACTACAGCTGGGCATTTTGCAACAATATTATTTCCTTCAAATTGATTCGCTTCTTATATTTTTCTTAAATATTAATACACTAATTTTGAGCAGCAAATGTTTTAAATGTATCACTACGGTTTTGAAAATTTGATATTACTTTTTTCATTAAATTTTAAATTCTTAGGACTGCAATTGTTACTTCAGGCTGTATTTCAGCCAAAATAATTGATTACATGGTAATATTTGCTGTCATTTTCAGGCTGTATATCAACCAACCAATATAATTGGTGACATGGCTGACAATATGGCAATAATTGCTGCCATTTTCAGGCTGTATATCAACCAACATAATTGGTGACATGGCTGACAACATGACAATAATTGCTGCCCCATTATCAGAAGAGTATCAAAAAATAGTCCCTCATTTGAACTGCTTTTGGCAGGAAGAGAAAAGGATTGATTTTTAAAAATATAATGTATGATTGAAGGAGATATTACACCAAATAGAAAATTTAAACATTTTATTAATGAAATTGTGACATTGGACTCAACATAGATAATCTTATAAAATTAATATAAAAATAAATTACATTGTAAACAGTGAATACATTTTACAGATTGATGATGTTCAATAATTTTAAACAGTTGCCATATTTATCTCTCTTAAAGTCGTAAATAAAATTCATAAATTGACATCTAGTACTCTTTTAAATTTTACGTTGTTCTGAGCAATCAAATACAGCAAAGCTAGAGAGATTTCCGCGCTTAGAGGGATATGCCTTTGTGGAAGATTTTCTAAAGAAAAGTGATTTCATTATATTACTTTTTATTTCACTGGATTCAATACTTCACTTCCTTTGATTTTATTATTTTATTTCATTAAGTAATTGTATCATATATGGTAAAAATTACAGTAATAACCATGCAGCCAGCACATTTGCAGACTTATCCACTTTGACATTAAAGGGCACACTTAAAATAGTAATATTTCAGTAAATTTAGTATACATAAAATATGTCTAATATATAGAAAACATTAAACATTACCTCACTGCCTTACTATTATTCATTACATTTACTTTCTTGCAATATATAAGCTTTCAGACTGTGCGTAACATAAAACATCTATATTCATCTAACCAAAATTGTGTGTAAATTAAAAGCATGTCTAAAATTACTCGTTCAGTATCATTTTCTTTTGGTGTTAAATAATGTGGCTGCAGAGCATATAATGATATGATTAATATATTTAATGATATACTAATTTAAAAGTAATATTTATGAGTAACGAAGCAAGAAAAAAAGCAACATTAAAACAAAAAAGAAGGGGAGAAACCCTCTTTTCTCTTAATAGATACTGTCATGTTATAAGTACTATACCTAATTGCAATACTAGATTTTAAAAAAAAAATCATTACTGCAAATTATATAAATGCACTGAAATAATCTTTTATACTCAGCACTCTACTTTCACAAATATTTACAAATGTGCATCATAATTCATGAAAAAATTAATATTTTGATAGTATCATTATTATATCTGTATGGTCCTGCTAAGTGGTAGCATGATTCATACTGACATACTGAAAAAGAAAGTTCATGATTTAGTGTATTATCTCAGTAAATTAATACATTTCGTTTTCTAAAAAAACTCCTTTACAGAAACTAACTTTCATAATAATAACCGTTAACATACCTGGAATTATAGCTACAGTTTTTAAGGCTCTGAGCACACGAAATGTTCTTAATGCACTCAAATTTCCTAAATCTACACCCATAGTAACATATCTGTAAGAAGAAAAATTCATATATTACATTTATAGTTTCCTCTATAATCAAGCAATAAAATACATGTATTTAAGATTAAAATAAGTTTATAAATCTTCAGTTTTATGCTTACATGAAACCATTTTATGATTTTAATATTCTCTTTTTTATTTCCTATCGCCATGAATTTAATTTATAGGAAGAGGGGAGAAATAAGTTTTAAACATGTGTAATTTGATTCGTATGCACATGTTTCGAGGAGAAATGAAGTGAAAGAATGTGCACATATTTTGAGCATAAATGAACTGAACCATATCTAATTAATTATATGGTTTTGCAAGAACATTTAAATGAATTTTATTTAACAGCAATTTTAATAAACACATTCGACCCAATTTTTAAAAATTAATTTTTATAGCAGCTTACAAAAGCAAACAAAAATTAAAAACATATTCCTACAATGCTTCACTAAACACACTAAATATAATTTTTTATTATTCAGATTGCAGTTAATAAAATTAAACTTTATGTGAACAAATTTTGATAACAGTAATATGAATTAATAATTTGGTCAAAATAAAAAGGTATCTTATAAAGATATAATAATTTACTCAATGCAGCAAATGGTTTGCATTTTGCCTGATCTGATATTTTCTAAATACAAATTTGTCCAATAACATTATTACGAAAAAAATTTTGATTAGCTCAAAATCATTTTTTCCAGACTTATTTAATTTATAAAAGCAAAATAATATAATTTAGCATCTATAGAAATATACGTAAGATATATCATTGGAATCTAAGCATTTTTTCCAGACTTATTTAATTTATAAAAGCAAAATAATATAATTTAGCATCTATAGAAATATACGTAAGATATATCATTGGAATCTAAGCATTTTATGGAAGGACTTAACTTGCAGTTGTGAAGAAAGAAAATGAAAATTTGTTTGGAGTTACTGGAATAGTAAAAATAACGTGGAAGATTTATATAAAAAATAGATTTTAAAACAATCTCCTTGAAAATGAAGAAGAGAATAAGCAGAATGTTTTGCTAAAAGATATCATTTTGCAAACATTTAGCGAGATTCATTACAATCTCATATAGTTGAATGAAATTAAGAAAACACTTCATGAAACACTCATGGAAAGGAAACAAAGTGATTCATGCCAAAGCAATGGAGGGTTAGTGTAACCATTATTTTGCGTTAAATATCTTGCACATACACAGCAATCACAATCTCATCCAGTGTCAAGGACAAGTGAAAGCATCGAAGCAGTTCGTTTAAGATTGTTTGTTTGTGATTTTAAGGTAAGTCCAGCAGCTACATCAAGTCGTTGAATACGTCAGGTATTTCAGGAGGACGGCATAAACGAACGTATTGGTTTTAGAAATTCAGATTAGAACATCTGAGCCTTTGTGATGAACCTTGCCGTGGCCGGCGAAAGATGTTGCATAATGACGCCCTGAAAGCAGCCATACACGAGTACAGCAAACCTGTGTGGTGAACTTATTGAAAGCTTCCATGTTTCCGAGGAAGCAGTCGAATTTCACCTGTACCGCATATGAAACCGTGCAAGTTGAGCAAGAAGGCACCAATCACATTACTTGGCAGTTAACAAGGACCAACATGCGAAAGCCCGTCTATCGTATCAATTTAACACCGTTACCTACGTATATTTGCTCGAGTGCTCACGAGTGATGAAAAGTGGGTGCAATATATTTCTGACAGTCCAGCTACCATTTGTCACCAGGTGACCCTATGCCTCACAGCTTAATGCCATCTCTGCCTTCACAAAAGGTCATGCTATGTGTCTGGTTGGCTACACATTAAGCGGTGTATTATGAGCTACTACTAATAGGCCAAACCATCACCGAAAACCTGCATTTGCAGCAGTACACGTGCAGCATTGTAGCAGAAAGAGCCAGCATTATTTAATTGCAAAAGTGTCCTCAGTGACACAGCGGGACTACACATGGCAAAGATAACCAGGAGTACCATTCAGGGACTCAGGGAGTACCATTCAGGACGCTGAGAGATACTTTGATCGCCGGATCCAGTGCTCATAAATTACCACAATGGGAAATCCTTCTACAATGCGGCAGTCCTGAAATAGGTACTCACTTTGTGTCCTAGGCCCTCGAGTTTTATCACTAAAGCATTGCACAGCTCCACGCACCTTGCCAAAGAGAGCTGGATGCTGATGGAGGTTACTTTGATTTTTGAATACAGAGCACTGTATTATAGGCTGTTTCTGATGATCAGGAAGAGAAAGAGATTTTTTGATTACCTTACACTAAAAACTAACTACTTTAAGACTGGTATTTCGTCAGGTGGAGGACTTTCTAAAATTCATAGTTTATCTTACATCTAGGGAAAACTCAATCACACAGGCTGTATGAGACATCTGTATTGCCATTGACTGTCAATAATTGAAACTGGGATTAATGACCGTTCAATGGTATTATCCATTTGGCTACTGCCAAGCTGTCTTATAAGACTTTTGGGGCTTAGGCTATAACTTGTCTCCTAAAACTTTCACCTACATCAGAATCAAGAATAATATGGGTCCCTATATTCATATGGTTCTTAAGCAGCCCACAACGGCCATAGGTTAGGATATGTGGAGAACTCTTTAAATAACCGCCAGCTCAAAAGAAGCAGACACGAACGAGCCTTATCATCAACAGAGGCCCGTTACGGATGTGGATACGATTACGGAACCCATGCTGAAGCTGATGAAGAAACTCAAAGCCGAGGCGGATCTTTTACGAGTTAAGTGCGGTTTGGCTATTACGGCAGGTATTCTTAACCTTAATATCTCTGCTAGGAATAAGGAGAAAATTAATGCTAACCCTAATAGTAAAACTGTTAAACGTAAATCAAATGTTGAAGGCTCTATTGATGCAGTTGATAGTGAGGGATTTAGAATGCCGAATAAAAAGGCAAAACAGTTAAAAGTTGAAAAATCTAAAAATATTATTGATGTGCAAAATAAATTTTCTGTTTTAAGATAGCGAAAATGATGTTGAAATTTCTGATAGTACTGGCAATGCACCTCAGGATGAGGAAATTCAGCACAATATTACTGCCCCCCAAATTTTTAACGGTCCACCAATCATGGTCAGTCCTGGACAACGAAAATTTGGCGAATTTTTAAAGCAGCTTGCTGCTCAAATTAAAGCAAAATATCTAGGTAAAATAAACGGAGGGTTTCTCAAAATATTCCCGCAGACAACTGACGATCACAGGATTTCAACTACCCTCTTCAAGGAAAAAGCTGTAGAACACTACATTGTAAATAAAAAATAAAAGCGCCCAATAAAGGTAGTTTTGAGAGGGCTACCTTCGAGCTCAGATAAGCAAGAAATTGCCCAGGCAAAAACAGATAGAAGATTTACAGTGCAGAAAGTAGCACAACTCACTAAACATCGCACAAGAGCGCCAATGCCTCTATTTCGTATTACGCTGATGCAAACCGCTAACATAGAATATATTTTCCAACTAAAGGACTTAATGCTCTATATTGTATCCTTGGAAAAATATGTTTCAAAAAATCAAATCCCGCAGTGCCGCAACTGCCAAAAGTGGCATCACTCGTCGGAAAATTGCTGTTTTCAGCCGCGCTGTGTCAAGTGTGCGAAAAATCATAGATCCTCAGAATGCCCGATTAAGGGCAGAACAGAAGAACCGAAGTGTGTAAACTGCTCTGGAAAACACTCATCGTCCTATTGTGGGTGCCCTGCATTCTCAAAAAATAAACCTTCAAACAAAAAGAAAAGTACAGTCAAACCTGGACTTAGCTTCGCACAGGCAATGCGGTCGAACTCTTATGAACAAACTGATGATAAGGTAGAAGACAAAAGTCCCAAAAATCCCTCAAATGCTAAATTTCCCCAGCTTGTTAATAAAAATGCAAATATGAATAATAAACAAAATGATAACCTCTTTAATGCTAACTTAAAAAATTCTAGTAATTCTGAGATATTTGAATTTTTTAAATGTTTAAAAGAAATCCATGGAATATTTGGACATAACATCAGCAAAATGACTCAGATATTTAAGAAATATGTCCCAAAATTAAACGCTGATACTGATAATGTTGATGAACTTTTTGTATATTTTGAAATGTTGTCAGAAATTAATGATTAGTGCAATTAATTCTGTGGAAAATATCTCAAAAGTTACATGGAACGCAGGTGGCTAGTCCGCTAAATTTAATAAACTAGGGATTTTGTAAAGGAGTACTCACCAGATATTATTTTCCTACAAGAAATCATGCTTAGCCCACAACAAAGTCTCAGAATCTGCAACTACAAGAGTTATAGAATTGACAGACCAAGGAGACCTGGCGGAATTTCTGGTGAAATTATGTTTTTAATCAAGCGTTCCATCGCGCACTTCGAAACTACATTACCACAGCTTTCGGCCATTGAGGCACTAAGCTATCACAATCATACCACACACTCATAGAACAATTACTTTCGTCTCCATCTATCTACCCGCAGCAAGAGCACAAAAGGATGTTTTTGCAGATTTAGAGGCTATATCCAAGTTAAAAACACGTATTATTACCGTGGAGACTTTAATGCACAACACAGAAACTGGAACTGCAATAAATGTAGCAAATACGGATACATAGTAAACAATTTCGCCAATAAGGCCAACTTTAAAATTGCAGCTTCGGCGCACCCAACACGCTATAACCCTGATAATACAAGTATCATTGACTTCTTCCTACTAAAGAATATCAATGCTCCCACTAAAACTGAGTGCTTATGTGAATTGTCATCTGATCACAATCCCGTAATTATAAAAGTTAACATCAGTGGTTACAGCATACCACACAAAAGAGCCCTTGTTACTAACTGGGTAAATTATACCAAAGCTTTAAACAACACGCAGTACACTTTACCAACGGCAGAGAGTGCGGATGAGTTAGATGCAATAGTAGATTTCATCAATTCTCTCAAAAATGCATTAAAAATAATAGCAAAGACGTCCCATTAGAACAGAGAGCAAGAGATCCTGAAATCAGAAAATTAGTTAAAGAGAGAAATCGTGCAAGGAAAAGATGGCAGAAAAGTCGCTGCCCATTGGATAAAAGAATTATGAATGACTTGCATCAGTAAGTCAGGCAATACACCAACCTTCATGCACAAAACGAGTGGTTTAGATATTTCGAAAGCCTTTCAAATGAGGATAATTCTATCTGGAAAGCAGTGTCCAAATATAAAAGGTGCTACACTAATATTGCGCCCCTTAACGGCCCAAACGGGAGCTGAGTCACTAGCTGATAACTAGGCTACTCAGTTTGGCATTAACAACATTTCAGACCCAGACACAGAACGCACAGTTAGTTACACGAACAATATATATTTTCGCAGCCACACACAGACAACATTCGTCTAGCTAAGCCGTCTGAAGTAATTCGATATTTCGAGAAAAGAAAAAAAAAAAAAAAAAAGCCCTGGAATCAATGGAGTGAGCAACAAAATGATACGCGAAATGGGTCACGTGATGCTCTTCAAATTTACTAGAATTACAAACTTGATCTTAACACTTGGTTACTTCCAAAAGAGCTGGAAAACTGCCGTGGTAGTGCCAATTCAGAAGCTATCTAAGCCAGCTAATGACCCAACCTCCTACAGACCTGCGAGTTTGCTATCCACATTGAGCAAAATATCTGAAGCGATCATTTAAGACCGCATCCTGGAACACATCAATATTAACAAGATTCTAATACCGCAACAATACGGATTTAGACGAAAGCATTCTACAGTGCACCAGTTGTACAGAGTGACAGAGTTCATCGCTGAAGGTTTCAAAGAAAAAGAGAGCACTGGAGCTCTTTTTCTCGATATATCGAAGGCATTAGACCGTGTTTGGCTAGACGGTTTACTTTACAAACTCATTTCCCTGGGTTTCTCGGAGTACATCATAAACATCACTAAATCTTATCTCTATGAGAGGCACTTTGTCGTTCGCTATAAAAATATATATTCTACTCAGAGAAATATACTTGCAGGGGTCCCTCAGGGGTCTCTTACAGGTCCTATTTACTTTCTATTATATGCAAATGACATGCCACATACCCCATACACTACTCTTGCTGTACCATGTATGCTGACAACCACGTATGCTGACGACACGGCGATCCTTGCAAAAAATGCATCCCTAAACCAAGCATTACAAATACATATACACGCACTTGAAACCTGGCTTAAAAAATGGAAGATAAATGTTGATAAATCAGTTGCAGTTTTATTCACAAGAAAAAGAAAGATCGATCACTGTATTAATTATATGATACAGTCATTCCGTGGGCTACGCAAGTAAAATACCTAGGTGTTACGTTGGATAGGAGCTTAACATTGAGGATCCACACTACACAAGTAATTAACAAGTTCCAAGCTGCTAAACAAAAGCTTACCCCCTTAATTTCTCGGAACTCGGTTTTATCTCTAGACAATAAATTGCTCCTTTACAAAGCGATGTTATGGAACCTATGCATGTCCTGTTTTGGGGCTTGGCCAGTACAGTACATATGAAAAAATTGCAAGTCTTACAGAATGTTAACCCTTAGGCAGATAACCAAGAGTCACTGGTTTATTAGAAATACAGACATTCACAATGAACTTAAAGCTCTAGAAATTAAAAAATTCATGGCCAAAATTGCCAGAAAATTCTTTAAGAACATCCAAAAGATTAAGAATGAAAGCATTCCATTACTTAGCTATAATTATAACGCAATTAATAACGCCAGACGGCCAGGAGCACTTTTGAGGGCATTAAACTGATGTTTATGCTGAATTTTACTTAAATTTTACTTTATTTAACATCTCAGGGAATTTAGTTTCATAATATGTCTTAAAAGCTTTCTTTTTAATTGTAATTTCTTATTATTGGATATGTATTTAAATTTAATGCTTTTACTTAGAAAGAATTAGTAATCCCTAGCAGTAGATATGTATGAGACTTAGTAAACCCCTACCCCCGTTTCGGCTCGACCAACCCTCTAAAAGTATGGCTCTGAACCCCGCCCCCATCTTATGCCTGCCAATAACGTTTGTTTGCGCCGCACTTTCTCTTCGCACTTAGCACTCCCACAATGTGAATCCAGCTCAGTTAGATAGACGACACCGAAGGCAGAGGCTCTCGCTCCAGAAGTAACTGACTCTTCGGCGAAGTGCATTTTCCCACAGCATCCAGTTGCAGCTATCATCTTACTGTTTCACGAATCAGCTATGTTTTATACAATACCAAATTTGTTTCATTTTTCAAATATTTCTGAGATAAATTGCTCATCTTACTTCTACAGCTCAGCGCTATAATTGCTTCAACACCTCACATACCATTATTGCTATCTACAACATTCATTAGGTACATTTAGGACTTTTTTTACTGTATTTGTAGGACTCTCATGATATGCTATGCAAAATTAATGATATGCACACCATCTTACGTCGCTAAACACAGGGTAGGAATGTGTTCCAGGAACCTGATTACGTGATTTCGTCACTTAAGATAATCTCATCAATGCAATGGGCTCGTAACCACACACCGAGCTTCTTCTCATATCGCATCAAAAATGCTTGAGAGGGGAGTGTGTAGCGATGTCGACAGCCACTCAATGTTCACAAATTTGAAAGAGTCGGAATTCTTGAACCTAGCGAACAAAATTTCATTTTCGCTAGTGGTAAAGAATTCGACTCGCATGAAACAGATCCAGGATTGAATCTTAAGATCATTACCATCTTCAAAGGCAAATGAAACTCGTGCGTTGCTGCACTTTTCATTGGTGCTAATAGATAGCGACTCGAGAAAGCATACTACCACGTGACTGTTACAGATAGAACTGACCACTAATGATCTATCAGAACAGAAGTTTGATGAAGAACGGAGACTTCAGTTCCCTCTTCCTTTCAAATTTCTATAATACTATAGAGTCATTAGGTTATTTCGATGTTAGAACATTAAAAATGAGCAATGCCCTTGCCATGATTCGAACTCCGGACATTGCGATTACGCGTCAGGAGTGTTACCCACTTGCACCACAAAAGCCCGCGGAGAAGAGGTGGAAAATACCTTATCCCCTTTTAAAGGGCGACTAATCTTGTTGGTGACAAATCATCGACAACCACCTTTTAGTTCGAGCGCCGCTCTTGAAAACCATTAGATTATATCGATGCAGGAACGTGAAATATGTTCAATGCCTTCGCCAGAATTCGAACTCAGGAGCTAACGAATACGTGTCGTGCGTACTTCCAGTTCACAACTAAGCATGCGGAAAGGAGGAAGAAAATACCTTATAATATGACTGCAAAATAAAATACCTTTTAAATCAAGATTGAGGTAACTGAAAACTGATACAATCGCATAAAGGAAACCTTTATAATTGACAGAAAACTGCGTGTGAATAAAAATGCAGCCATTAATAACTTATTTTTTTACTTTTCGCATAACCTTATTTTTGCCTCTGTTTAAACATTATAATGATAGCATTTTCTTTAGTGCGCAGTTTTCTAATAACATTTCAGGCTTTGTTTTACATTTTTATTAATGGTGCTCATAGTGGATTTTTTTAATTCAAATTACCGAAAACTGTAATATTTTCTTAACTTGAATAGCTCCCAAAATGGTATCGAATGTTACACAGCACAAAGAGGAAATTCCTACTTTCAGTCTCAGGACATCCAGACCACCAGAATGTTTTTCCTCGTGCAAAACCTTAAAAGTGGAGAATATAATACTGCACTTCTAAGAAAAAAAAAGCAGGTGTGCTATAACAACAATTTTTCTCCCGATTGATGGAGATTCTTGCATATCACTTTCAGACACCTGCTGGCTAAGGAAATTTACGGTAGCCAATTTGTAAATTATGTTAATAATGGAAAAAACTAAAGATCACAAATCTGTGAGCTACGTAATTCTGTCATTTTAAAATCTTGTAAGTTAGAAGTAGACAAATATAATTTAATAATTTCAAAATAATTTTATACCTTTCTCTTTGTCTTCTTTCTATTTCTACTGCAGCGGTCCACATGGAAATGAGAAAATTCATGTGTACCTCTCTCTGCACCAAACATTGTGGATGCATTTGTTTCTCAATCCCTCGTGGATTTTCTGAACCCCAAATGCGAAAACTTTGTCAATTAACTAAGCTATCAAGATGAAAATCAGCCTCGTCGCTGAAGACGACTATTTTTTTTTTTTTTTTTTTTTTTTTTTTTTTGAAAGCATTGCTCCTTTTTCAATCTCTCTTGCTTCCGAAAATCTTAATGTCTCTATAGTGGGGGCCCGAACTAAAAGGTGGTGAATGATGATTCTTCATAACCAGGATTTGACGACTGGGTCCCCTAAGCCCCAGTCGCCCATTAAAAGGGGGAGTATATAAGGTATTTCTCCCACCTTCATGATGTAGTGGTCAGTACGCTCGGCGCATATTTGAGAGGTCCGGCGAGGGCATTGCTCATTTTTCATCCTTCCTGCTCTGAAATAACCTAATGTCTCTACAAAATGATACAAAATTTCACATCAAAGATGATATACTGCCAAATCTTTTAATGAGAATAAAATTGATTACCACACTGGAAGCTTTTAAAGCAATAATGCTTGAAAAGTGTATTTAATCATTTATCATTATTATGTAAGTCAATCTGCCATATTTCCTCCCTGGCTTTGATCTATAACTATTTTTTTAAACCTTTTATCTCATAGCCGTGGGAAGAATCCTAGGATTACTCTTCATACTCATAATACACATTTATAAAAGTATTTTAATACATAAATAGTTTCACAATTACTTTCAAAATAATTTTAAAACTATTAATAATTATAATTAATAGTGCACACATAATTTAGAAATTTATTTCCCCTGATACAGTATTCTCTGACTCTAATTAATAATGAACTTAACACCCAGTTTGAATTGATTGAAATGAACTAGTGTGATATAAAGATGAAAAATAAGAAGTTGAACGTAAAACTTACGCTAAGGCAATGACTATAAAATCCAACCAATTCCACGGATCACGAAGATATGTGAACTTTTCAAGTATAAATCCCCTAGCTACCACTTTGATGCATGATTCAACAGTGTATATTGATGTAAATATTGTTCTGAAAGAAGGAGAGAATAATGGTTAAAAAGGTGATTCTAAGTTAATAATGAAGAAACAAGAAAACTTTCTTAAAAAATTGGTGCAAAAATTAAAACATGATATCAAAATTAAACATCACATTTAAACTGATTTCTAAACATTTTTAAAAAGAATTAATTTTTGATGCTTTAATATTTGAATAAAGTTTTAGAAACTTTATTCAACATTAAAACGAGTCAGATTATACCAGTATTTAAAAGGTACTCGGATGTGATGTTTGCTCTGGGAAGGAGAAGTTTCGTTTAAGTTAAACTTTCAGATCAATAAATGTTAAAATTTTATAAAACTACTTAAATCACTCATTTCGGTATGACTGTCCATTTTCATTCTTTTATGAAATTATCTGTTTTAATGAGAAGAGATTTTTCAAAAGCATTCTAGAAGTCCTTTTGCAAGATATTCCAGAACTGTCATAATACCACTTCTTCAGGCTTCAAAAGAAAATTTAAATAACTAACAAAAAAAAAAAAAAAAAAAAAAAAAAAAAAAAAACTGAAAGTTTGCAGATTTTTATATTACGGACCTTTTTTTACGTTTTGTGTGTTCCCTTTATTTATTAAATAGCAGATTCTTCGCACTTAAACACATAAAGCTCAATTCAACAGCAATATCACGAAATATTGAAAACAGCATATCTTTAGAGCTTCCGATACACAGTCTCGCTCGCTGGAGATATTTTTTTTTTTCGTACATTGCTCGCTTTGAAATAGCTGAGTCTGTTAATAAAAATTTCGTTAAAGTTTTATCAAATTCGAAATAGGTAATAAAACAAATTCGAATTTCAAAATTCGGGCTTCTAGGTGTCCATGTTCGGTTTGAGGACTACGTTATTCAAACTTGGATGGCTGTAGGTACCGTTGTTTTTCACACTGCGAGAAACATACATATATTAATTCATCTGAGATTCTTCATTATTTAGCTTCATTAAATATAATACATGGCGATAATATTTGGTAGCAACAGTTTAAAGTGAACCAACGCAGAAAGTGAAACGACGTAAAATGTCGTTTTGAACCTAATAGCCTTTCGGACTCTAACGGCCCTTTGCGCTAATAATTGTATTTCAGTATTTACTTAAATCCAAATTTGTATTTATAGAACATCATATCATTAAAAATGGTTAATGATTGATGGTAACCATTGTTACGATTTAACTAGTTATTATCAGGATTAGATAAGAAAAATCAATTAAATTTATTATTATTTTGTTTTCATTAAACTCTGCAGATTCATTTGCGCATTTGAAGATAATACTGTAACATAAAACCATAACAATACATGCTTAGTAAGGAGAAATCATATTCAGTGTTAACAATGATCTAAACATAAAATATTTTTACAAATAATGCAACACTAATTTCTGATTGCTGACTTAGAGGAATCATATAGATATTAATTCCTAAACATTATATAATAATTCAAACAATATGTATCCACTAAAAAAGCATTTATACACTAATGTTTGTGATAAAAGCAACACCCTGAAGGAATTATCGGAAAAGAATGAAATTTATTTCACATTTTACTGATAGTGGTACAAATAAACGATCAAATTTACAAGACAAAAAACAAAACGAATGTCAGAAATCAGGACTCAATCCTGGGGAATGACATTCCGTATGGCTTCGACTGACGAAAGGTTCAGTCTAGTGTGTGCCCCACCAGCAGTATGAGCAAGCCGCCGACCGATTTAATCCCAAACATGCTCAATGCACGACATATACGCGGAATAAGCAGGCCATAGAAGAAGCGAAGCCTATTGTGCTCTAAAGAAGGCTTGAGCAGTCAGAGAAACATGTGCACGGATACTATCCTGCCGAAATACAGCGTCGGGAATGCGTCGAAGAATGGCAAGGACCTATGGCTCCACAACTTATGCAGCGAACATTGTTGAGATTGCCCGCAATCTGCACTAGATGGGATCAACGATTATACCCAAAAGCTCTCTCCATGATGCCAGGCGTTTGAGCAGTATCACGCTGGATAACACACTGTGGAAGCAAACGTAACGTTTGACGCGTACTCTTCTATCATTGTACTCTAGATTGTAGCGAGATTCATCCGAAAAAACAGCTTGTTACCACAGCACTGTGTTGCCGTGCCCATTCAAGTCGGAGGAGTCCGTTACAGGAGTCAGCTACAGGGAATCCTGCGTACATAAACCCTTGCACGCAGTTCATGCTGCAGCAGACGGCGACAAACCATGGAGCTAGACAACACAACACCTACAGCCGTGCTCCAAACTTTGTGCTAACACACGACAGGACGCTGTACGATCCATCACAGCCATGCAGACTAGGTGTGTGTCTTGCCGTACCGTGCCGCTGTGCTGTGTCGCGCCCCACTGCGTGCGGGCAGAGATTGCTCACTAAGAATGTCCACCTTCTCGCATAATGACGACGCGGCCTCGTTCGAACTCTGTTAGTTGTTGGCACCCACCGCTGTTGACGAGGCATATTGACACCTAATTAAACGTTCACCGCAGAGAGAGGGCAATAAACAGATTTCAACGCACCTTTACAGGCCTTTATATACATGGAACAAGCTGCCGGTTCTCATCCTGCGCATGCCTAATCGCTTTGTAATTCTAATCATTTGCATGGCTTACCTCACTTTACATTTCCTGTAAGTTTGATTCAATATGCTTAATTACTTCATGGTGCTGCAATTTTCACAAACATTAGTGTTGATCTTTCGAACCAAAGGCAGATTTTCACCATAGCATACGCAGCAGTACATACAGAAGAATTTGTCACTTGCGCACATTGGATACCCCTATATTACTGTTACTAATCTCACTTGTCTAACAGTGTAGCATCAAATAAAGCCCACAAATTTTATCATGGTCAAAAGTGCAAGTATTGTGCCTGTTGTCGGTTTAGGCCTTTTGCAAATTATAGGTGACAGAATAAATCTATCTAGTTGGTCCCAGTTTTGAAGGAAAATTCACCAGACAGGGATTCAAACATCTTTCACTCTTCCTGCTTTTCCACTATTTGGAAAGTACTTTAAATGGCTTTATGCCAGGAAGACACTATACGCTTACAAATATCCATAACTTCTGGCTGTCAAACCCAGGCCCAAATTATAGCATCTGGCTACCCTAATATCACGCCAACAAGTACATCTATTAGTAATTATTTGTGGCCATAGTTTTGACCAGATAATCATATCATAAATCGTATCATAAAGCTATTCCTATATTATATAGCCACATAATCATTTGCGAAACTTAGTGAATGTTTTAAAAGTTTGTTTCAAAAGCATTTAGACAAACAAATACTTTATGCCTATTTTTATTGCCCACTTTCTTTGTAATGCCATATTACTGCTCCTCGGGCCAGTTATGCTTCCGGAATCTCCTTAGTGCCCATACTGGAAACTATCATGACATCTAGAAGCACATAAATAATGAAAAGACAGATTACTAATGTTTGATTTTGAAGCCTATATAAATATTAATTTAATATTAAACTAATCATATTTGAATACTGGAAATATTAGAAATTATCTGTCCGATGCTCCTCTGTCAAAGTTACCGGTATATAATCATAAGGAAACATTAGTACTAAGCCTCTCTAAGATGACCCATCGAAGTTGTCTAGAGGCAGATCTAAGCTCTCTAGAATTTTAGCTCATTGTCTTAGACACGCCCACTGCAGTTAAATAATGATACTGAACAACACGATTGATGGCCATGATTTCTAAGGTGAACACTTTCATAAAAGACTAAAACTGTTGGAACTGTGAATGATTATCTTAAGAATGTTTCACTGTACATATTTTGTATAAAAAGGACCAAACTACTTTTTAATCCAAAGGGGCTTTATCCTTGAAGGACTATTGTTTACTTTTTGTGATTTTGCGTCGGAACCCTATAAACGGCGAATCACTTTTCAGATCGTTGCCACCAAATACTATCGCCCTGTATTATATTTGAAGCAGTTAAATAATGAAGAATCTGCATAAATGTATGTGCGTTTCTCGCACTATGATAAAACAACGGTACCTAGAGCTATCTAATTTTGAATTACGTAATCCTACTGCGAATATTGGCATCTGAAAGCCCAAATTTGAAATGTGAAATTTGTTTTATTATCGATTTCATATTTTATAAAACATTAAAAAATTTTTGATTAACAAACTCAACGATTTAAAAGCAAGCAATGGTAACACTTTACGGGGGGGGGACGTTTTTATCTTCAGCGCGCGGAACTGTTTATCGGAAATTCTAAAGATAGGCTCATTTTAAAATTATTTTGCGACATTGCAGTTGAACTGAATTTTAAGGTTTAAGTGCAAAGAACATGATATTTGATAAATAAATGTAACACAAACGTTTAAAAAAAAAAAAAAAAAAAAAAAAAAAAAAACACCTTTGGACGTAATTTAAAATTTGAAACCTTTCAGATTTATTTATTATTATTATTATTTTTATTTATTTATTTATTATTATTATTTTTTTTTGTTGCTTAGAATTATCAGGTAATCCTGCACAAGCTCCGCAGAACTGTTTTTGATAGAAGAAATGTTCTGTTAGGTGTCATGTTCTACACAAATTTAAGCTTTTTTACTTCAATATTGCTAGCTTCGCTGATTGCTGTGCCGAAGGGCTTGGGTTCGAATCCCGGAGAAGGCGTGGATGTTTGTAAATGTATAGTGTTCGTACGGCAGGGGGTACTCTAAATATGCGGCAAGCCGAAAGCTTTCTCGAGAAGTTGGTAGTAGGGAAAGAGGGGTGGGAAACCTTCGGAACCGTCTTCCCCCCCGGGGGGGATCATTTCCATCAAAATTTGGGGCGGAATTGAGTTAAATCGCACTCTCATCTGTATGGGGCATAAGGCTGTTGCCGACGACAGGCGTATTCTTGCAGTCGTTGCTAGGAGGAATTTCGTGGGTTTAGACTGACTAAAGGTCAGACAAGTGAGCGTTAATAACAACAACAATTAAATATTGCAAAATACATGACATCTGTTTGCCAAGGAGGAGAGCTACCTCATGAAGGACTTTCAAAAGAAAACTGGCTCATATTTAATGTACTGAAAATATGTCTAATTGTACATAACCTAAATACAAACAATTCTAAATATTTTCGTTATTCTGTATATAAATTAAATTCTCTGCATACTTACTCTGAACTTTCAATACTTTCATTACTAGGCATTGTCATGAGCACACAATTTACAAGAATAGTAACGATGACTAGAAAGCTGAAGGCAGGATGAATAAGGATGTAGATGGCAACACGACGCAGAGGGTTGAATGGGGACAGAATGAACAGACTGTTGGTAGCACTGAACCGGAATACATCTTTTCCTTTGCTAATAATCATAAAAGTCTAAAATGATAAAGAGCATGTGATGAGAAGAAGTAACGTTTAACAGAAAATTAAAATAAAGGCATTCTTTCAATATCACAGGTGAAAATTAGATTGAAAACTGAAGCAAGAGCATGTAAAAATGCCCTTATACTTTTTTCAGAGTACTAAATATTCAAAGAGTTATGTATTTACTTATTTATTACATAACTTAATGTAATATTTTGAATAATTAGACAACAATTTCAAGACAATTACTGAAAATAAGAGAGTATATTATTTTTAAAGCAAGATAATTAATAAAAATATCTGATAATTCTCATGATAAAGATTTAAATATTAATACCATCCAAAGGATACTAAGGCTGTTCGTACATTTTGCAGACAATTTTCATTGTATTTGCAGAAACATTTTACCTAACATTTTTGCGTTTTAAATAATCCATTTGGTAACTCTTATTCTTCACTTTTTCTTACACCGTAATTTCCCAGACAAAAAAGCATTTTTTTAGCAGCGGAAGAAGTATTTTATCCCATTCCTCTTGAACAGCTTTCCAAACTCTAAGGGCGGTTCCAGGGCAATCCGCTTCCCAAAAGCCGAAAAGACCCAAAATCCGCGAATGATACATCGATTTAGTAGGTATATGAGTAAAGGATTATGGCTTTGATAAACGTTTCTTGTTCCATTTTTACTTGGAAATTAAGAGTGGATCTTGACGTGCGGCTACTTGCTTTGTCTTGATGCAGTTCTACAGATTGATGGTTAAAACGTATTTCGTATTTGAAAATTGGGAATAAAGTATGATCTTGATAACATGTGGAGTTGACCTTAGTTTTCTGCATTCTCTAACTTTTATTTGTCGTTATATCAAAAATCAGCAACAATCATAAATTCTTTTGAAAAACTTTCTTTGTATTCTTTGAACCGTGTTCTAAGATTTTTTTCTCTTCTTTGATGATAATAACTGGATCTGATTTTACTGCAGTCACTTAAATAGACCCAAAATTCATTTGTTGTGACAGCATTTTTCCCTTTTTGTCCGAAACTGCTTCTCATGGAGAATTCTGCAGCACATTTTTCTTTCGGCGATATGTCGTGGAGAAAGACGATGCACATTATGTTTTTTCGCCTTTTTAAGATTCAAATCAGCATTAATTACCTTATTTACAATTGAAACTGAGTATTTTAATGATTATGCAATTGTCTTTTGAATTCGAAGATTTTATTTTAACAATAAAGTTCTTACTTACCCTTTGCAACATTTTGTTTGTTCCTTGGATTGTATTTTGAACAATTTTTCTCTTTGAAGCCAAGGTTCTACGTTTTTACCTTTCTTATTGACAATATTATGTATCGTTGCTTTAGAAACCGAAAAAGCATGGCTTTCACAGTATTTTTTAATTACTAAATACGAATAATTTTCTTCGAAAAGCGTAAAAACATAGCCTTCCGTTCATTGCTTCTTTAAAAGCGCCATTTTGCATGAAAACAAAATTGTCAAATGACCAGTGGCGTAGCTAGGGTGGGGCAAGGGGGGACATCTGTCCCCGGGCGCAGCATCCAAGGGGCGTCAAATGGATGCTACGGAACTTTTTAATGAATTTTTTTCCATTCTTGGCACATAGAAACGGGCGCAAATTCTTCAGTTGTCCCCGGGCGCTGGAAACTCTAGCTACGCCCCTGAAAATGACAGACGCTATTTTACACTTTTAAAAATATAGTTGCAGTTAAAATAAAGCAGGCGTCTGTAGTAGCAGATGATATCAAACTGATTAGGACAGAATTCTTCAGATTAAGAATAGTTTAATTTTGTTACCTTTCTATCAGATTTGCAAAAGAATAACAATCTACGAAATGTTTCTTTTAAGAACCATTATATTTTGTTTTTATGATAAACATGAATTTTGTAGAAAGAAGAGGGAATATAAAAATACATCATATAAAATGAATGAAAAAAAAAAAAAAACAGAAAATTTTATTAGCATAGATTTAAGACCACTTACTGTTCTGAGTATTTTAAACGAATCTGACTTCAGTGAAAATCATCATAAGTTTCCTAAATCTACTGAAAACTGTTTGGATAGAATACTATCAAAATCTTAAAAGCAGTACTAATAAATATTGACAAATTATTAAAAATCTAAAACAGATGTTTAGTTCTTTATTTCTCAAAGACTGTAGACTACTAAATAACTTAATTAAAATTTTGTTTTCCCTAATGTTTCAAGTTTCACCCTCATTTTAAATTTCACTAAGTTGTTTTATCTGATTACAGTAGGGCTTCATTTCTAAAATTAGAACTGCCAGAGCTCTGTGGAAGACTGCCAGGAAAAAAGAACAAAAATAAATAAATAAAATTACTAGTAAAATAATTAATAATTAAAAAAATAATTATTAAAATTTAATAAAATGGAAAGAGATAAATAAAAATATAATAAGTTATTAAATAAACGGTAAATAATTAAATATTAAAATAAAGTACTAGAACCTGATTTATTTGGGGTTTTGGCTGGAATTGCATTTTTAGGCAAAAAATATGAAATTTCTCAACCGGTCTCCAGTTTAAGCTCTGAACATAATGTACTACCTTCAAACGACAGAAATAAAAACCATTCTTTTTCCAGCACAGCAGTGAAAAACATTCATATGCTTGAAGCATTGCTAATGAAAATAAAGAGAATGCTATAAATAGTAAGAGGATATGGTGAAAATTTTAACAGATGGCCTGCAGCTGTGAAAACAAAAAGAGAAGTGCCTAACATTTCTGACCACGATGTCCTCTCAGTATAATTCTAGCTGTCAAACAGAATATGACAGGGGAACAAATTTTCACTGAATCAGAGGGCTAGTTGAAAAAAGGTAATAAACGACAATTTTCATGACCCGTCTTGGGTTACATTGTTCCAAAAGGTCTGCAAGTGCTCTTTTTCGCCAGGAGAAACAAGTGTTGGAACTTAAAATTTATCTACTGTCATAAATTCATTGTACTTTCTGGAGAAAAAGGCCTTTGAATGTCGGTGGGGGCTTTTCTTTCCTTAAAAGTCTCGACCTCCATCCAAAGGTTTGTTTCCCAAGGAAATAGAAGCCCGCATTCAGAAGTTCGAACCAACTTTTGATATAATTTTATTATTAAACCTAAAACTTTCGAGATCATATTTCTGTTGAAATTGTTCAGTTATATTAAAGACGTGCCAGAGTGTTCTTATTCAGGTCTTTGCTGAGCTCTGGCTAGAATTATGATTTATCCCCAAAACTAAGAAGCACTGAAGCCGGACTTCGGCACAATTTAAGCTTAGGATTACGGCAAAGTACACAGTGGCTTTTCATATGGCTAAATAAGACAAGTGAGCATAAGCAACAACAACAAATAAGATACTTCATACATAACACTGTAAGTAAACTAACTATTGTTGACATTACACATGAGAAAAAATATTAACACTTCATACATTTAACCCATTTAGCCGTCGGGAATGAAATTAAGGATGAAATACCAGTGCTTTACAACTTCAGACATTTAGTTTTAATTTTTAAAATGTTATTATATCTATAATTTCAAATATCTTGAGTGTAGAATTGTTATATTTTGAGGAAAATGGAACATTTATTATTATTAATTTAGAGCAATGAATTAGATATTGAAAGTTTTCAATGGTGTAGCTAGAGTGGGGCAAGGGGGACATCCGTCCCCAGGCGCAGCAACCAGGGGGCGCCAAATTGACGATACACATTTCAAAATGAAATGTTTTCCATTCTTCGAACACAGAAAGGGGCGCAAAATCTTTAGCTGTCCCTGGGCGCTGAAAACCTTAGCTACGCCTCTGAATGTTTTACTTCAGAAAAATCAATTCCATTTTCCAAATTTAATTTAATAATCTTAATGATTCACTATAAAGTGATCTTCAGTCAAATTGCTTAGAAGGTTCTTAGCTACTTCAAAAAGAAGTCGCAATACCCATTAATGCAAGAAAAATCAGTTTCTTTCTTTTTTTTTTAATATACTTCAAGGTCAGGTAAGTCTTGTAAAGTGTATAATTTTCAGCAAAAGTTTGAAGAAAATTATTTTACATTCTATACAGTTTGCCATTTCTTGAGCTTATTAGCAATTTTACTTTTTCAGTAACAAATGTAACATAGCTGAGAATACATGACAGAATGTAAACAAGTGCTGCATCTACAAATGAGGTACGGTTTGATTTTGTTTGATTTATTTGATTATGACAAAGCACTCGAGGGAAGGATGCTTTCGTGGAGGACTTTCTAAGGTTAAACTGGCTCATCTACATGCTACATATGGAGGAAACCACGAAAACAACCATGCGGCCAGCACGTTCACCCAGATTTGAACTCCAGACAGAACTACCAGTGTTCATCCATTTTACAGATCGCCTGCTGGTGGAACTTCAAATGGTGTATGGCATATGGCCACCACAAATACAGGTATTTATGCCTTATTTGTGACTCAAATCCAGGACTATTGGCATAGAACAGGACTTAGCAACTTATGACCCATGGGTCATAAAGTGACCCACTCGAGTTCCAAAATAAAGTATAATATTTTAAAATAAGTTAAAAAACACAAATGCAGAACGAACCCTGGAAGAATACATAAAAAAATAAACCGAAAAATAAATAAGAGCAATAATATTTGTGTTTGATTGCAGTTACAGTAATGAACATGCATTTTTATTGTTTAAATAAACCTGTAAAACAATTTCAAGAAGAAATCATAAGTTTGGCAGTGTCAGTCCATAATCCATAATTCTAAAAAATTGGCTTTGCTATTTTATCTGCATTCAGTTCAACTTATAAATGCGAGCCAATTTTGCACGTGAAATTTATTTTAAGTAAGAACAGGAGCAGCTTTACCGAAAATTCTGATCCTTGTATTTTAACAAGACTATAACTATAAGCCAGACTTGACTAATCTGATGTCACAAGTTCAGCACCAAGGAAGCCATTGACATTGAAGGGAAAAATAAGGTTTGTTCAATTATGTTTTTTATATAACAAT